TAACGAATGCACGTCCGCGATTTTCGACGGATTTGCACCAAAATTTACATGCACATGCTCCAAGTTAGCAGGAAGGCCAAGACCGACTTTACATTTCCCAACTCCCATCGATAGTAGAAATAATCGATTTTTGTATGTTTCTACGGCAGTTTTCATGTAGTTTACGACCATTTTCTACTGTCCAGAGTGAGAGGCTATAGCTGGCTGCCACGAATAGGCAGGAATATTCTATTGGCCAGCGTGAGAGCCAACAGCTGACTGACACGAATGTTAACTAGCATTAGAAATCGTTAGAAGTGGGAAAAATTTAAATCTGCATGGCACTTTACTCCAATTGGCTTATTCGCTTGCTTAAACTCAACGTTGATTCTGATTCCGCAGAACTGGGTTGGATGTGAAAAAGTATTTGTTAACATTCTTTTTTCATTCGGTTTTTCCAGTTACGAGTCCTTTTTTAAAGCTGATCGTTTTGTGTTCATTTTGTTTAGTTCTTTTTTTCGTAACAGATTTAATGTTTAGTATAGAGCTTAGAAAACATTCGCAGTGTGAGATAGGCAAGAAGTAAGGCATGTAGCAACATCATGACGGCAAAGGGCACTCCTTTAAAGGCAAGGAAGGGCAAAAATATTTTAAGTCAAGAGATAGCGATTGCTGTATTAGTCGTACCATTTTTGAATCAAGCACGGGCAACGCTGCTAGTCTAAAAATAAAAAAGAGTTGATAAGTTGTAGAAAACGAATGGGTGAAAATGATTTTGAATAATATTTTATATTTTCATAGTAATTTGTTTGAAGGTTCCCTGTTCCTCAGAGCTGGGACTATAATAGGTAATGCTATAGCGGGTCAGCAATCAAGAGGTGGTACTACGTTCCTTAAAACCTCCAATCTTCCGATCAGTGGATTGGTGTGTGATGTAGCCTATCGTTATAACAAAGACTATAATACATATGATCAAAGGGAGATAGACAGATAGATTCGGAAAATTTCATGAACGTATTCCTGTTTTGCCTTTTCTATTTGTTTTTCTCATTAGGATTTTTTATTTATGCAGATAGATAACACGGAAGGATAGATAAATAGAGAGATAGATAGATGGAAACAGAGTGATATATATATGTATATGTATATATATATATATATATATATATATATATATATAGAGAGAGAGAGAGAGAGAGATAGATAGATAGATAGATAGATAGATGAGAGCAGACTGTGATAGAAAGATAGATGAGAACGGACTGAAAAGTTTACATAGATAGATGAGAACAGATATATATATATATATATATATATATATATATATATATATATATATATATATATATAAATATATTTACAATAATGAAAAAAAAAAAATTTTAAAACCTAATATTTGTTAGAAATAACAACTGTGAAAAGCTGAAATTTTGACAACTGGTAGTCGTTATCATCCATAATAACATACTAAAATTTGAATCATTTGCAAAGGATAGAAAAAGAATTATAACAATTATTTATTTATTTTCAAAATTGGAACGTCCAAAAGTAAGGGACAAAATTGAGAAAAACAATGTAAACAGTATGCTATATTCAAATTTTTGATTTCCTCTAAAGAATAAGTCTTACTTTGTCATTTGTAAACGTTGCATCAGCCGGCACCATGGCGAAACGCCAAAAACTTGATTACTCTGTGAGACAAGCTATTGTGAAGCTACACAAGGAAAAGCATATATATATATATATATATATATATATATATATATATAGATAGAGAGAGAGAGAGATAGATAGTGTTGGGGTCTATTAGAGGCCAGATCGAAAGACACGGAAAGAAGGTAGTTTGAACAAGTGTATTGAAGTAAAAGAACATATACAAAATAAGTGTTACTAGTCAGTAGATAGAAGTGTCCGTCCGAACTATCAGGTTACACTGCCTCCCGACTCTCGATATTTAACAGTCCCCCCCACGAAGAATGTTTGTGGCACAAGGCCGAGTTTAACATGGGTTTCTCTGAGCCCGGAGGCTCGGCCAAAAATATTCCCTTAGAACCCGCATTAGCGGGTTCGGGATCTGTCTACCTCCCCGGACGAAACTTTGCCCTTCGGCAAAGCTTCGTCCAGGGTTCCTCTCTGCCAAAGCAGAGAGTTCAACAGAAGTAGCACACCGTCAGAGCCTGCGGATCGACTGCCTCCTTAGGAAGTCTCGCAGGTTAGTATTTATGAAGGAGGATGAGTTCTTTCTAATATAGATATGTCATCATAACAGATAGATAGACAGATGAGATTAGTTTGTGATAGATAGATAGATAGATAGATAGATAGATAGATAGATAGAGAGATAGATCAATCCATCAATCAATGATAGTTCTTTGGATAGAAAGATGAGATTTTTTTAAGGTAAGGTTCATCCTGTACAAGGCCCGACGACACTCAAGGTGATAGGTTACGATAAGTAGTAATCTATATGGACACGAGGGGAAGATAACAGTTGACTCTCGACTTGAACAGGTTAAGATTGTAGGGATCAGGGAAAAATCATCTATAGAGTCTGTATAGGGCAATTGTTCGAGGGAAGAATTGGAACTTACAGCTCACTGATGGAATACAGAGGTAATGACGGTGATTTTCCACCGTAGTAGGGGAAAAGCAATGACAGACTCGCCACATACCGCGTGTGAGAAAGAGGTTAGAATATGGAAAATAATTCTTCTCTCACAATGACTCGGAGACGCTTTCGAATTCTATTAAGACTGGAAAGTGAGGCCTTGTCAGCTTCTGCCCAAGTACGATAACAATGCTCTATTTTCGGGCAGATCTGGCTCTTGTAAAAGTAGATGTTACCACAGAGGAGGCACGGTGGAGTAATGGATAGCGGCTTGAATTGAGGAATCGGAGAGCCGAGTTCGAATTCCAGTCGAATCCATTACATTCACTTACGTGCTAACACCCTTGGGAATGGTGTGGATCCTCTTTCTTCTCCATCCAGCTATGGGTAAATAGCAAGACAGACTGGGTTCTATAGCCTTGGATGGAAACTGGTCTAGGAGAAGGAAAATTCTGAATTCAAACCTGCTCTTAGAGGAGGGTGAATGGAGTCTCTCTGTGCCTTGGTTGGTAATCCATTTAGTGTTGGTGTCACGATAAAAACACCCTTGATAGCCCTATCGAAGCATCAAGAATTCAGCTATTTGACAAGATTATGAACTACACCAATCAAAGTATTGGTGAGTTCAATCTCGGCTGAGGCCGCAAGATGAGATGAGATGTTACCATTAGTGAATGATATATAGAAAGAACGAACAATAGTTTGAGATAGATCTGTTGGTACATCGATAGATAGGTTTGAACAGACTGAGAATGATAGATAGATAGATAGCTACATAGATAGATAGATAGATAGATAGATAGATAAAGATGAGATGAGATAAAGAACAGACTGAGAATGTTAGATAGATCTTCGATAGATGACCAGATGAACCTTTTCATAGACAGACTTTTAGATAGATTCGAACAATCTGAGAATGTCAGATAGATAGATAGATAGATAGATAGATAGATAGATAGATAACTGGGGTTGCTTAACGGTTATCACATCAGAAAATGGAATCGGGAGACCGATTTGGTATTTCTTATTTTCACTTAGCGCCTGTATACTCCCGACGCTGTCTAATCGGCAAATATCTTGATAGATAATCTCATCATTGACATAACGCGACAGCTGACCGAGAAGACAGTGTGTGAATGTGCGCTCGGGCAAACAAACTCTCCTGTTACTGCCCAGGCAGTAGAGGCCAAATGCCGCTAACCCACTGTCAACTCCCAGGGATATCCAATCCATTTCCTAATTTCTCTTTCGAAGAAAGACATGCGAAGAGACTCGTAGCATTCGGGCAAGTTCTATTCGACCGTGCTTAAAAGAAACGCAGTACAAGATACATTTCCAGCTGTATAATGCATACAGTATTCAAATCTAAAAAGGCCGACATCTTTAATCCAGCACCCTTGGAAGCAGACCATTAACAGATCACAGAAAATGTCGGGTGATAGAAATGACTAATAAAAAAAAAAAAACTTAAGTTCGAATTGTCTTCTCATCTCATAATTATTGAGGTATTATCAAATGTGAAGATAATACTTAAAACAGTAAATAAAACAAACATTAATGCCAGAGAATAAGGTTTATATTATATCAAGCAATAGAAAATTTTAAAATCCTTTAAGCATATATATATATATATATATATATATATATATATATATATATATATATATATATATATATATATATATATTATTTATTT